AAATAATACCTAAATCGCACAATTTTAGCAGTCTTGTTCATTGTAAACGATTGGAAAAGAACCCAAGGAAGAGAAAATAATTATGATTTAAAATACTAATGAAATGCGTAATTTATATAATTTTATTGATTTCCTTATGTTTTTTTATTGAAAACATCTTTCTGCAAATCACTTGGATTAAGTTTAAGCAATTTAAAAATGTTCCATTAAGAATAGGTTATCGTGAAATTCATTTACGTGGTCCTACTCCACCAATATCGTACCATATACATCATCCTGTCCCTTTCAGCACATAGGTGCGAGGTAGTTTAAAATATTTCTTCTGATTATTTGATTGATTCAGTTCCAGAAACCCCAACAGACGATTGCGACGACGGAATAACAAAATCTATGTACGAAATGTACTACAAAACCCCAAGATTTTACCCCAAATCACGCAACGTAGAAGACGAGCCCAGATTTAGAAGGAAAAAGAAGAAAACTAGAAGATACAGGCAGAATTACGACTATGAGGAATCGACAGCTTCTCTAGAACTTACGACTAAAAGAACAAAGGGTAGACCGAGAAGAAGGGAGAAGTTTACCAGTGTGGATATGCCGTTCTTCTTAACTGATAGGAAGAAGGCAGCAGATGATAGTGGAGAAGAAGTGAGAAGAGAATTGGTTGAAGAGATCAATCAACCTAAGGGTAAGATTATGTTAACGTGGAGATAATTTTTTTTTAATGAATTAGTATCTTTCTTTCATTATAGTCCTGAAAACTGAGATGACGTTGATTGAGGCAACTCAAAAAACACAACCGTCTCGGTTGCCTAGTGGTATGATTACCCACTTCTGAACCAGATAACCCGGGTTCGATTCCCAGTAGAGATAAAATTCTCTACTTGGTGGCTGACGGTAGAGCTAGTTCCAAACTTCCAAGTCCACCTGGCTAGCTACCACCATCTTACCAAAGTCTGTTGCCACAGTACCGTTTACAGCATTATTGTGTTTCGGCAATTGGAGGTAAGATAGCCAGTAATTGTCTCTGTAGTTGAGGTTCCTGAGTAAAGCTTCCACCTTCAACCTGATCATCAATTTCATCAATTGAGAGCCTCGCCGCCTCTTGTGATCACAATACGAATACGGGCTGGGTACTTTGGACCTGTTTATTTACTAAGATGATTTTTCAGATGGTCAAATCCCTCATTCAACAAATATAAGGGAGAAGCGACGGAGGCCTCTCTCTCAGGAATACGACGACTCAGAATCTGAGGAAGATGAGAAAGAGGTAGAAAACGACTACAAAGACTACGGGAAAAGGACAGAAAATCGAAGGAAGAGGTATGTCGAATGTAACAGACACTTGTTGACTTCAAACCCCCAATGTTCTCCTGTTTAATTTCGTTGCGGGTCCAATAACAGTAACTTTACCCCGGGACAAACTTGACCTTCACTGGTTAGATTTTTATTGGTGATCAATAGCGATCCCGGCTGTATAATAGTTGCAGCGGAGGGAAATAGTCTTTGCGTCGAGTATAGCAGAAGAATCTGCGAGCTGGTGAAAGTCGGACATATGCATAGGACCGGTCGAATTGGAAATCCTTGGGGGAGGCCTTTATCCAGTAGTGGACGTCATTTGACTGAGACGAACGAACTAATTCTGCGGGCTATGTCGGTGACTTTGTTGTATACTTCTTCCAGGGACATAAAGGAGGATGATGGAGCGGACCCTACCAACTCCAAGGAACAGGAGGTGGACATGGATTACGTGATAACACTGCGCCCCACGCAGATCCGAACCTTCGTGGTGTGGTTCCATGAGAGCAGGAAAGCTTATACCTGATAGATCCAGCTTGAGTATTTCTAGATCTGATGAATAACCATAGTGAAACGATTTCAATACAGTAGATGCGGGCTACTTTAGCTTCAGAGCAGGGTTTCTCAAACTTTCGGCTCCACGACCCCTTAACGACGACCTTTAACTCACACGACACGACTCTTTAACACTCTAAAGAAAATAATGATGTTAACAGCGTTGTTGTGTTCCGGCAGTTAGAGGTAAGATAGCCAGTTCTATCGTGGTTGAGGATTGCGGATGAAGCTCGCTTCCACCTTCGGCCTGATCGTCACTTACCATCAGGTGAGATACAGGCCAAGAGCTTCCTCGTTGTGGATAAAAAAAATACTATTGAAGAAAAATAAAGTTTTAATTTCAATAACCTACCAAATAAAGTGCCAAAGAAATGCCTTTTTATATGATGTGATGGGTATCCATGTGCCTGTTTCTTGTCGCAAATGTAGTCAATTTTACGAGTCATTTTGGACAATATTTCATACCCTCGTAGTGCCGCCATTACATAAATCTTGTCGCAAACCACCTGGCGTCGAATGGCGAACCCCTGGGCAGGGTACTCACCTGCCATGTAGCACGTAACGTAGCATGTAACGTGTCCAACCTTCAAGTGAGTACGGCTCGTCCACTGTCATTGCGTATCTAGCTGCGAGCTCCCGGTTCCTAAAGCGAGTCGCCTTTGTGTTCGCAGTGATACCGCCACTCGGCCTATGTGCTCACTTGATACAGTATCTGATACATTACATGCTACACGGCTAGATGAGTAAACTGCTCTAAGGGTTCTCGTACCCCACTTTGAGAAACCCTGCTCTAGAGGGCAACTATGGCTAGACTAAAGGCTCCAATGTTTTTTTACTATGACTCCCTTGAAGGGTTTGCCACACTGAATGCGGTCTGTAGATCAAAGTGACCGCAGACCGCATCCAATGTCGTAAACCCTTGAAAATTTACATTTTTAGAACGCCTATTTATTTTTCTATCACCAAACACATTGAATTTTTATTATTGAGTGAAAGAAACAAATAGTTTTTTATTGTTATAGAGAGTCTATTTATTAATTAATTTAAGCACACACCTTATTTATACCAATGCAAATATAAATGATAATTATTTATTTGAGTTTTTCTTTTAAAAACGTAGACTATTATGTGCTGACCATCGGCTTACTAGATTGTCCTTACCAGAACTCGAACAGCTATAGTTCGTTATACCAAATTGTCAACCACCAAGGACAAACAGCCACCAAGTACATAAAGACCTTTTTAACCCTAATAAAAGAATTTTCTAGTTAATAATTTCAAGAAATAATAATTATGCTAGTTATTTAACTTCAAAGCTTAACTTATTTTAAATTCGTAGTTATTTACTAATTAGAACAATTTTACGGTAAGGGTAACGAGTGAAATGCTTACAATTATTTTCTTACTACCTTTTTCCCGCGGCTTTGTCTACAATCCGGTATTCCATTCTATCACGGAGTTTTGGAGTTTCCCCTTAATTTTACACAAAAGTCAAAACAAAACTATAGGTATTATTTTTTTACAAAATAACACTTCCTATATTTATGTTCATCCAATTCAGTATGACCATGGGATCCACTCTTGACATTTATCTATAAAAATAGGTATAAGTAAGGGTTTGTTCCCACAGCAATCCAGTTTTGCGGGATACAGCAGTGCAGGGTGAAACTGTCGTGTGAACACACTTTTGGGTGTGTTTTAAATTTGAATTTCAAATTCGACCGGATCGTTTTTTTTTTGCGGAACACTGCAAAGGGGATGTTTGTGTGATCGGTAATATTATACGCGTATACTACGAAACGGGATCCTGCAAAAAACGGGATGTCTCGCCCTTACAGTAAAATTTCTTCATAACGAATATCTGAATATAATTCAATACAAAAAGGAAGAACATTCATATCATAATATTACCATTTTCTTTAAGGTCAAATCACTTGCATGCAACTGTTGTTTATTATTATCGTTTATGAAAATTAAAGAGTTCTTTGTTTCCAAACTTGTAAATTACTAATCGATGAACAAAAGAATATTCCCATTGAATCTAACAAAAGGTTTGCAGTCACATTCGTCGAGAGCATAAACGGAAATGGATAGTTAATAACACTGTGGCAAATAGTACCACAGGACTTAAAGAGTAAGAGAGTTCAATACTATATACAACTCTATGGAAGACCATACAATAAGAATGGAGAAAGAATTCGGGCCTTTCCACGTCACGTATAGATTGAACATGTACTCCATGAGCTATGGAATGATATATCCCAACCCTGCGACCAACAAGTGGCGACTACTGGCTATCCGTAAGTCTAAATTTAATAACTGGGTGAATTTCAACAAGTGCATATTTTTGCCTAATTTTGGTGGAAATTGTTATTTGTGTATTTTTATTCTTTAATTATAGATCAAATTTATTGGAAACTTATACTGTTTCTAAAATGATTAAGACATTAAATTTTGTCCAGTAGTTTTTTAGATTTTCCTTACACCAAAATTAAGAGAACACCAAAATTTATATTAAAGCACCAAAATTAGAAAATATGCTGTCAGTCGGTCATATCTTAGTGCCAAGCTCAAGAAATGGTTTTAAATTTACCAGCACCGACTCCAAAAATATTAATCATGGTATATTGTCCTAATAAATAAATAACGACGTACTTATTTTCTACTTTTAAGTGAGTTTTGGCGTCGGTTTTAATTTTTTTGTTAAAATTATTTTTTTTATGCTTTTTAGTTGATTAGTCCTTGTTATTGTCACTGAAGAGGGACAGTACCTATGTTTAATGTGATTAAGACTATAATTTTCCATTTTGTAATGTCAGTCATGAGCAGTCTGCCCATCATATCTTGTGGGAGTGTGATCTTTGGAAACATGAACGTGATATAATGCTTAATTCAATACAACATACATCTGTTTCCGCAATTTATTACACCGATCTTGTCGCGACAAGGAAAAATTTCCGTGCTTTTAAGCGATTTTGTGAAAAATATTATTGGCAGGTAGTTGCTAATTGCTCATAAGATAGGCCCCCTTAATTTAATTTATTGTCCGTGGTGCATAATCTTTTTCTTAAAGGTTTTAAACCTTTGTTTGTCACCTGTCATCCGCTTTGCAATGGAGGGAAGTCGAACCTTAATTTCGAACTCCTCCTATGTTCTTCTGATTAATTTCGTTGCGGGTCCAATGACAGTTTAACTTTCCCCCGGGACAAACTTGACCTTCATTGGTTGGGTTTTTGTGGCGGTCAAGCTGTAGATCCTGGCTACACAGGAGTTGCAGTGGTGGGAACGAGAGGTGGGAATAGTCCCGTTGACAACGTGTCTGCGCGCGGGATTTTTTATATGAAATCACGCGGACCGCGGCGGAGCGCGGCGCAGTGTGATAATCGCCTAAATATCATTTTTATCGTTTTAGATGTGTCTTCTCTACCATAAAGAGGAACCGACCAGCCAAATCCTAGCCTTGATAAACAAAGACTATGCCTCCTTCAACCAGCTGCCTGAGAGCTACAAACCTCTGGTCAGAGGCTACGTCAAGAACACCAGGTTCTACCAGAACATCTGGATCGCTTGTGTGCTGATGATCCTCTCCACTTTCGTCTTGACTGCATCTGTGATGAATATCTGTGAAACTTTGTTCAGGTAAAGTATCATCATCATCATCAGGTCTTTTAAGCTCATAGCAGACCTGTCAACTCGGAAAGGGATCAACACCGTATCAACCTTTCGCGAGCTATTATCGTCTTTTGCGCGCTGTCAACCGTAAGGCGAGGTGGTTACGTTACGGTGCGGATAAGTGTGCGTTGCAGTATGGAGTTTCATACAAATAATACTGACCGCCTCAAGTTGATACGGTTACGATCCCTTTCCATGTTGATAAGTGTGCTACGTCCTAATAGTCTCCATTGCAGTAGCACGACCCTCTCCAATTTACCAGATGCAAACTGACGGCCGATGGACAGGCAAGGTTCTAGAATGGAGCCCACAGGTGGACAGATGACCTCGTAAAAGTTGCAGCCGCAAAAAGGAACCGCTACCAATTACTGGCCTATCCTGAAATCATTGGGCGAGACCTATGTTCAGCAGTGAAAGCCCTGTGACTGAGATGATGATAAGAATAATGAAATGTAGGATTTGGCTTACACTCCTAATGCTGCTAAAGTCTTCTAAATGTAAAAGAAAGCCTAGTGCCATTGAGTTTTACTTACCCACCAATTTATATGGTATAAAAATAAACTAACTTCCCAACCCGTCTGGCCAGCGTGGGGAGTGTATGCCAAATCCTCCATTTGCCTCTGGTAAAAGAGCTCCTGTAATGGAGACGAAATCACCTGATGATGATGAAATAATAAGCTAAATTTTCAGCTCAGAACCAAAAAGGCACATGATCTACGATGTCCGTTTACCAATCGACCGTCCAGGAGCTCAATTCGAAACGCCATACTTTGAAATACTGTACATATACATGCTGTACATAGCAGCAGTATATACGATAAACTTCACCGGTTACGATGGCTTCATGATAGCTTGTGTTTACCACGCGTGCCTGAGGATTGAACTGTTTTGTAAATATGTCCATGACGCTATGGATTATGAAGGCGATGAGCTGAGGAAGCGATTGGGTGAAGCTGTCAACCATCACTGCGAGACTTTTAAGTGAGTTCAGGTTTTCTTATTATTGTAAGTAAGATGTTTTGTCTATAAAGTCGAAACTGTTAGCCTGCATCTCAGCTGATGAAAAAAGAATTGCCCCCACGAGGAGTCGAACCGAGGACCTCTGGTCTAAGACAGGACTTACCACTAGACCACAGTTTAAACATCTCCTTCCTTCCACTCTTCCTCACACAACATAGACTAGAATCGGACCCTAGTTACTTCATCATCATCATCATTTTATATAGGCCTCCCCCAATGATTTCCACATCATCCGGTTGGTAGCGGCCTGCATCCAGCGCCTTCCTGCTACCTTTATGAGGTCGTCGATCCACCTTGTGGGTGGATGTCCCACTAGTTACTTAATTACTTTTATTAATTTGATAGATATGTATCTACATATCTATCAAATTACAAATACTTATCTAAGTATTTGTATTTCAGATTGATCGAGAAGTGTGAATCTTCCTTCAACTTCTACCTGGGTCTGGTGTACGTGGTAGTTACCACTGAACTGTGCCTCTGTCTATACCTGGTGATGGAGGTCAGTATTTTTTTAAAGTAAACCAGCTATGTTCGAAGTTTCATCATCATCATTTCAGCCATAGGACATCCACTGCTGAACTGGGCCTCCCCTAGTGATTTGCATAATGACCGGTTGGTAGCGGCCTGCATCCAGCGCATCTCATCTTTATGAGGCCGTTGGTCTACCTTATGGGTTGACGTCCTACGCTACGCTTTTCAGTACGTGGCCTCCACTCCAGAACCTTGCTGCCCCATCGGCCGTCAGTTCTGCGCACTATATGCCCTGCTCATTGCCACTTCAGCTTGCTAATCCATCGGGCTACGTCAGCGACTTTAGTACGTTTACCGATCTCCTCATTTTTGATCTCGTAAAGAACCTGTAAACTGAGTGATGGTTATTTTTTTTTTATTTGTTTCAGGGATTCGAGTTTGATTACAAGTTTTCTTCATTCAGTATTGGCACCATCTTGCACATCTACGTGCCTTGTCTTGTCGCTGAAAAACTGAAGTCCGTTGTAAGTTTCTTTGCTTTTCATCAAGGTTTCAAAGCAGCAGATCGTCGGTCCACCTAGTGGGGGGCGTGCCCATACTACATCTTTTGAAAATATTTAATATTTTTTCAGTGTGAGAACGCTTCAGATTTAATATACTGCTGTGGATGGGAGAACAACTATGATCTATCCATGCGCAAGTAAGTACAATAAAGCCCGTGTTCACAAACATTACTTCAAATTCAAATTCAAAACGTTTATTTGCCAAAAACACAGTAATACAGGGTGACAATATTAAATATTACTATGAGGTCTCACAGTGCGCGTGGACGCACAGGGTGACACATGAACCAATCACAGAGCTCTATTCAACGCTGTGCGTTTGATTCGTTGCGGCGCGGGCGTAGAATTTAAAACGTATTTTTCACTTTTTCAAAGTAATGAAAATTGTCAAAGATTAAGCGCGCCAATTAGGCCAGTACAATTAAACACAAAAATGAATTAAATCGGAAATAATTCCTACTAAAGATTTTAGGGTTTTAATGGCTTCATTAGTTGCCCATAAAGACTCTCCTAGGTTTTCGACTTCGACGGAGTTGTGCTTAAGTGGTGGGGGCCCCCGAAAGGGGCGTTTTTCGGTTTTCCGATTATACCGCGTAAAGGACTTACTCTATCGAAAAGTGGTCTTCCTGACGGTTGAAGGGCATTTAATCCTGCATTAAATAAGACCAAATTCATATGTTTTGGACAAACCGTTTTCGTGCAAATGTTCGGCAAAGTAGAAAATATGTGTATAATTAATGACCCTCTCCACGTCCAATGGCTCGTTACCCGCAGGCTTGCAAGTCTCGAAAAGGAGCGCCTCAACCAGTGTAACCCTATCAAGGCTTACGAGCTTGATGCGCCTATCCTTGTTCGTCCCAGCCGTTCCTTAACTGCGGTTGCTGCACCTCTTCCTGGCACTCACCTGAACGACTCTGTGTTACCTTCTGTGGCTGCCCCTCTTCCTTGTATCCTCCTGCACGACTACGTTGCCTAGCCATATGCCTGGTCTAAGGTTCGACGCCAAAAATCAACAACAACAAGTTCATATTAAAACGCTGAAGAGTTTTTGTTTGTTTGTTTGTTTGAACACGCTAACCTCGAGAATTACTAGTTTGATTGAAATAATTATTTTTGAGTTAAATAGCTCATAAATTGAGGAAGGCTATAGAGTACATACAATTACTCTACGACTAATAGAGGCGAAGCAGTAAAGAAAAATGTTGCAAGCACGGAAAATAGTATTTAAACTATTTTCACGCGTACGAAGTTGATTTTGTGGCATTGAACCTTGGACCAGGCATATGGCTAAGCAATGCAATCGTACAGGAGGATACAAGGAAGAGAGGCAGCCACATTCGTTAACACAGAGTCGTTCAGGAGAGTCCCAGGAAGAGGTGCAGCAACCGCAGTTAAGGAACGGCTGGGACGAACAAGGATAAGCGAATCCAACTCGTGAGCCTTGACAGGGATACGCTGGTTAAGGCGACCCTTTACAAGGCTTGGGAGCCTACGGGTGACGAGCTATTTGACGTGGAGAGGGTTATTAATTATACACATATTTTCTACTTTGCCGAATATTTGCACGAAAACGGTTTGTCCAAAACATATGAATTTGGTCTTATTTAATGCAGCATTAAATGCCCTTTAACCGCCACGAAGACCACTTTTCGATAGGGTAAGTCCTTTACGCGGTATAACCGCAAAGCGTCCCTTTCGGGGGCCCCCACCACTTAAGCACAACTCCGTCGAAGTCGAAAACTTAGGAGAGTCTTAATGGGCAACCAATGAAGCCATTAAAACTATAAAATCTTTTGTAGGAATTATTTCCGATTTAAAATCTAATTCTACTGGACTAAATGTTCAAAAGAAGCCCGTGACGTCAAAGCGTGTTTAAAGTGTAACACGGTGTGACGTCACGTTCCGCAACGCAAGTTCAACTTCGTGATTACTTGTTTGATTGACAAATAAAAATATACGACTCATCCAATATTGTCTATTTCTATTTATCTATATCAATTGACTGAGTTAATCTCAGAACTTGCCAAATGTTGGACTCGAAGCGCTGGTAGGATAAAAAGATTATGAGACATGTAGAGGCTCCATAAGAGCAAAACATTTGAAGAGTCTGTTGTAAGTAGGTACTTACAAATAAAGAAATTTTGATTTGTTTTTGACTTTTTGATAATATTATTTGACAGAATATAAGTTTATTTAGGAAACTAGCTTAATGTGCCTATTTACCCATCTTTTCAGGTTTATCCCTTACATGATGGCGAGGGCGCAAAAACCTGTAGCCATGAAAGCCTTGGGTCTCATCACGTTTGAAATGAGCTTGTTTGCATCCGTAAGTTGTCTGGAAGAGATTGCTTCGTAGCGATAAGATCTAAATTGTACCGTCTCTTTTGTGTACTTTCTTTCGTTTTTTGTGTGGTGTAGTAGTAGGTACATACATACAAAGAGAGTAGAGTGCCATGTACCACCACTAGCTTTCGCCCGCGGAAACCCCACGTTTATTACTCGGGAAGAATATTTTTTACAAATTAATAACCTCCCGATGGCCGATGGGGCAGCAAGGTTCTGAAACGGAGGCCGCATACCGGAAAACGCAGCGTGGGACGTCCACCCACAAGGTGGACCGACGACCTGATAAAGGTAGTAGGAATGGATGCAGGCCGCTACCAACCATGCGATGTGGAAGTCATTGGGGGAGGCCTATGTTCAGCAGTGGACATCCTACTACTGAAATGATGATGATGATGAATAACCAACCACCCAGAAGTGAAATCGTTGGACAAATCGCTAAATGTGATAAGGCTCTAAAAATCTCAACTGATAATAAGTATCATTTGTAATTTTTACCAAATCAGCTTCCAATGCAGAAGCACAATTTACCAGAGGCAAATGGAGGATTTGTCCTACACTCCCCACGCTGGCCAGACGGGTTGGGGAGGCCTGATGTTCGCATGTCCCTTAGTCGCCTCTTACGACATCCACGGGAAAAGTGGGAGAGTTCCTATTCTACTCTTCCGTGACCTCACGAATAATTAAAAATAATTGTGTATGTTGTTTCAGACCATGAAGACGGCTTATTCCATGTACACGATAATAAAAACTCAATAAATTGCAACCTAGTTGACTGGGAGAGGATGCCGCAAGAATTCCACCTTCTTCAGTTGTTAACTCTTGTTTGACACTTGATGCACATTCGAAATCATTTTTTTAAATGTTTTTAGGTCTCTATAACCTTAACCCTTTTCTTGGCATAGTAACACGGGTGATACATCATAATTTAAAAAATCCTGAGGGCAGCGAAAGCATTAGAAATAATTTCTTTTATACATAACACGTTCCTGATTAAAAAAACTTTTCACACAAAAATACATTTGGCTGTCAGTTATTGTCAAAATTGGATAACCTAAGCATGTTGGTTTCAAACGCGTGGTAAGTTTATTTGTTTATTGGCGATATCACAAAATATTTGTGTTATTTTCTGTATGTAATTTACAGAAGAAGGATTACTGTGAGTTTTTCGTTTGGTTTGGATGGTGTGTATTGCTACTTGTCGATTTTATAACCGTCCATGTGCCTGTGTATCATATATGTTACATTGCCAAGTTCTTCGTGATGTATTTTTAAATCATAATTTAAGAAAAAATGCGTATTTTTAAAAGATATTAGTGTTGCATTAGTAGGAAATACAGTAATTAGAGTGGATAAGCTTGTGGAGTGCAATAAGTTCATAAAAATATATTAAACTCCATTCACCTTACCTTCTGATGCCGTCAAGTATGACAATTTTGGCCTATTTTCGCTTCTTGTGGAAAATATAAAACCAGAAAAATGGGCAGATTAAATATAAAATGCACAAAATATATTCAACTTTTATGTGTGATAAAAAGTTATTCGATTTTATGACTTTTATCATTATTAGTAGGTATAAAAAGCAAGAGTCTTAATAATTATTATTTGCTATAATTGGATTTGGCATATTATTTTCACTTTGAGTTTCTGTTTTGATAAGGAAGTTTAAAAGTTACCTTTTTAAATTATTTATGTATGTTTTTGTTCATTCAAAATTGTTTTTTGAATATTTTAGCTTTTTAATTTTCTATACCCTAATCTTGGCAGTGTATCATATATGATACACCTGGTTTTTGAAAAACTGAAAACAATATATATTTTTAAATATTTTTATTGGCCTATTAGGATCATACTTAACTCATAAATATCAAAAAAATTAAAATCGTACTGAATTTTTGGTCATGCCAAGATAAGGGTTAAGGTAATTCAGGGCACTTTAAGACATGAAATAAATCGAATAAATATAAGCAAAAACAAATAAACTTAATGTGTTAACAAATAACCTGTTGTTTGATTACAATAGTTTTTTTTTAATAAATGAAACTTACTAAAATAAATTTATTTCATCTAAGATTACCAAATTCATTTTTTTACCAAAAAGTATTATTGTGATTTTTTATCCCCTATTTATTTCAATCCCTTAAATGTTTTAATTAGAGATGGGCCGACTAGTCGCCGACTAGTCGGGAAAGCCGACTATTCGGCATCATTTATAGTCGGCCGACTAGTGACGACTATTCGGCAAAATATGCCGATTATAATCGGCGAATTACAAAATTAAATATGTGAATGAAATAAACTCATAATCACTAGTGATGGGCCGACTATGGTCTTTGCCGACTAACCGACTAGCCGACTAATCGGTTTTCAAATTGCCGATTAGTCGGCCGACTAATCGGCAATGCCGATCATTCTAATACCTACTTGTCCAAAGAATAATATCTAGGTTTTCTCAAAGAAATATGAATATCTAGATTTCTAAAGAGATAAATATAAGTTCTTGAGAAATCAGATTTCTTTAATAAGAGAAAAAATAAAAAGCAACATTACAATCACCTAAAAGCACCTAAGGTAGTCATAATTTTCGACGGCGGAGGGGTTAGAGGAGGTGAAAACATGATTGCCTCCTGCGTGCTCCTGCTGGGCTAGGATACGCGCCGTGATATTATTCTTATTTATCGACGTCAAAATGTATAGGCAAAATTGCACTTATCGCGGCACGCATCCTAGGCCCACTGATTCCTCTCCACCCTCCACGGTGATGGTCAGCGAGCTGGGGGCGTGGGGTACCCCCGAATGCATAGCACGGACTACCACCACCGTCGGATAGGCAGAGCCCGCCATACAGGTGGGCAATTGCCGGGACGGACTGTGATAGTTGATGGCTTTGTCCGGATTCCCATAGTTCTTCACACTAAGGCGATCTCGGGGGTTATTTATGTGGGTATTCCTCATCCTTCCGATGAGAGGAGCCCCACATAATCTTTCCACCAAACCACTTCCCCGCAGGATAGGTATGCAATTCCATGCATTTTTCCCCGAAAAAAAGTGTCGAAGAAGAAAGAAAGAAATATTTATTTCAGAAGAAGACAGAAATAGCAAATAAATATTACAAGGAAATAAAAAGTGAACTGAGCAGTGCCACCCTGTTGCAACAGCGATGCCCATCGCAATGGGACTCCACTCAGCCTATGCCGTGGCCCACGGTGGGGAAGGCCACGACGCTGGTTTTTTTTAAATTACATCAACTTAACACATTTTTGATGATTTACTGGTAATTTTAACTAATCTTAACTTTATATAAATTTAGACTGATTGCCAAAATTTCAAATCAGGTGAACCACTTTTACTGATTTTTTGCAGTCAAAAGTGGTTTACATNCATCACTAGTTTTAATATCATTAATGTTTTTTTTCTTACTATGTTTTTTAATAATCAGAGTTCAAATACTAATATTTAAATACGAGAGCTTGTAAAAAGGTTTGGATGTATGTTTGTTACTCTTTCACGCAAAAACTACTCAACGGATGTTGATGACACTTTTCAGTATTATTGTTTATACATCAGAATAACATAAAAACTATAATTTTAATGATCTGTGACAAACTGAATTTCACGCGGGCGAAGCTGTGGGCAAAAACTAGTAACAATATACGAATAGGCATAGTATTCTTCAAACAACCAATTTACATACGTAAAGAATACACAGTAATTTAAATTCAAAACAGACGCAGAGCAAACCGGTAAGTATTAATAGTTCTATTATGGCATGTTTCAAATAGCAACTATTTATTTATTTATATTATAACTAGCCTTTACCTGGCTTTGCTTGCATGAATTTCGGTTTTTCACAGAGAATTTATATTTTTACATTCCTGAAAAATAAAACGTACAACACTATCATTTCCTGTTTCACACACAGAAAACATCAGAAACTCTAAGCTATTCTAAAACACTCTACTTATAAGTTATCATAATAAATAGGAATTTTCAGATCCCATTCTTAAAAAATTCCCGCAAAAAATTTCATTCCCTATTTTCATCACCTTTAACATTATTTTTTTCTTTGTGCCTCATGTAGCATGCTAACATGAAAAAAAATACATGTAGAAAGACAAGAAAGAAAGAAAAACTTTGATTTAAACTAATTATGAAAAAATAGAATTTAAACAAAACTTACGTCTACATTGCGGGCATAATGGTCATGAATGCAATTTATTTACTTAATAGTAAAAGTTACAAGAAAATTGATTCATTGGATAATTAAATGGTTTTGTTTAAACTGTCTGCGATAGATCGAAAACTAGGTGTCCAAAAATATAAACAACATTGAACAGACTACATGAAAAAAGAAGCTCTAAGATATGTAGGTACTTTCTGTGGCTACACTCTACTTCGTACTGACAAGTACTAACGTGCCGTTTATCTGTCAAAGTTAAAATTTCTTTATTTGTATAAACTACTAGCTTTCCGCCCGCGGCTTCGCCCGGGGTTGTCCCAGAAATTATTCGAACTTTTCTCGCCGTAAAAACCATCCTTGGACTTCAACGAACATTTAAAAAAAAGAATTGGTAAAATTGGTCCAGGCGTTGTTGAGTTATGCGCTTACCAACACATTTTGCGATTCATTTTTATATTATAGATTTAAATGGTACAAATCGTCAAATATTTTGCTCTTAAGGAGCCTCTACATGTCTCATAATCTCTGCGGATCTGTAATGCGGATTTCCGCACGCGTGCGGATCTGGTCGCATCATTATTTCATACATATTTTACATTTTACGCGGGTACACGCATGGGGACACCCGCACGCGTGAAAGAGGTACACACACTGTACCAATGTATAGTCCCATTCTTGTCAATTTTATCGCTCATCAGTTCAAAGAACGAATGATAAGAAACGCAGCGGAAAAAGCGCTTTAACACCACGTGTTGACGATCCGTCTATTTATATCAAGGTTACAAGCAAAAACGGAAAAAATTGGCATCCATTCCACAAAAATATGTCGCATTGAGCGTTCATTCGATATAATTTCTATTCGATTTAATCGATGATACTCTGACCTGCTACGATAGTACTGATACGTATTTTTATTTAGGTATGTAAGTTTAGTGAGGTACAAGTCGCGTTGGGATTCAGTTCTGTGCGCGGGAGTGTGTGTTGTTTAATGTTCATTTATGTTGTAATAATCGGAATCATTTTTAGCTTTTTATTGAAATTTGTGTTCGGGGAACGCCGGGAACTAGAAGGTATGTTTATTTCTTTACATTTTATTTAAAAATATAACTAACTATAAAGTTTAGATAGAATAAATAAATATTATGACATTCAAATTTTGTGAAAAAAATACCCTTAGGGGGTAAATCAAAAAATAGGGAAAAAGAGGTGGAAATTCGTAATTTTCGAAGCTAGAACGATGAAAATTTTATATTTTTTTAAAAGCATGACAAGTCCTGCTACAGGGCTCATCCTAAAAAATAATAAACTAATGTTATTTTCTTAAACAACTATTAATATTGTTATTATTTTGATCTGTATTTTTAGCACTTTACAGAAAAATACAAAAGTGTAACAAACATGTTAGGTAAACAAGATTATGTCATTGTAAAAAACAAAACACTATCATAGCCAACGAAAACTACGTTGATCCTTATCTCCTTAATCTTCGATATAAACCAATAAATGCATATCACGAATTGTTTTTGATAAGAAAATCTAACCATCTTTGAAGCGAGAAGGAAATACATATGACGCCCGTAGCACACCTCCGCCGCGAAACCATGACAGCGAAAGGATTTCAAT